CCTAGCAAGGTGTCAAAAACTTGATGACCAAAAAAAAAAAAAAAAAGTGCAATAGCACTCAAGACTTTTATACCGCTTTGCAGTGCTTTACAGCCCTCTCTGAGAAGTTTACAATGTCAGCCTATTGCCTCCAACAATCTGGGTCCTCCTTTTACCGACCTTGGAAGGATGGAAGGCTGAATCAACCTTCAGCCGGTCAGAGTCAAACTTGTGGCAGTAGGCAGAGTTTGCATGCAATACTGCGGTCTTACCACTGCACCACCATGGCTCACCATCACAAGATGACAGATCTGCAGTCTAACCACTGCACCCCCAGGGCTCAACCTCCCTCTCCATCTCCAACCCTGGTCAAGTCAGGAGACCCACCTGGATGCTTTCTTCAGTCGCGAGGACTTCAGCCACGGGTACCGACTGGATGAACTGCATGAAACCTGGAGAAGCAGAAAGAGAAACCAAATGCTCGCAGCTCAGAAACACCTCAAGTTTTGTCCCTGTCCCCCAATCCTCCAAGTGGCCTCAACGGCTCCCTAAAAGAACGCAAACAACCAGCGGTCTGCAAGGAGTATAAATCCTTCCATTTCTCCACCATCCAGTCAGAGCTGAAGAAGCTTCTTGGGATGAGAAGCCGTAAAAAGAAAGTCCAGTTGCCTCTTGAAAAAAGCATCTTTGGGACAGACAGTATATATATATGTTTGAAAGAAGACAATGCCTTTTTCCATGCTGAGGGCCTGGACTTCTAAATATAGGAAGGCCTGGAACAGCCACTGGAAGTGTGTTGATGCCACTTCCAGAAGTCCGTTCTAGGCATCGGAGGCCCAGGCCTGCATCACATAACAGAACCGGTTGTTCAGGCATTTGAATCCTATCACACTGGGTAGTCTTCTACTTACAAGCCAGATTCAAAGTTCTGACAGTCACCCTTCCCATGAAGCATTCGGTTGTTTGGCAACATGGCTGTGTTTACGGCCATTTGTGGCATCCTGTAGACACATGACCCACATCATGTGATGGTTTTGCTAAAAACCAGCACTTCTGAGTTTTCCATCCATAGTGTACCATTGGTGTGCTTAGTGAGTGTGGTGTTTACTGAATGCTGAAAAGAATCTGTTTTATGACCTGTTTTACGTCCATGATGGGAAGGTCCGACATTGGTCGTAAGCTGAGGACTAAGTGTACTTTTTTACTCCTCCGAGTTGGGGAGGTAGGGAGAAGATGGAGGTGGAAGGGGAAATCCTCTTACCGTGTTTCGTACTTGTAGCCAACACTTTGTAGGGAGTCAGCTTCAGATCCAGATTCTCTTTGCGTAAGAGCTAGGAATAGAAATGGTGATCACGATGAGAAATGTGTAAGCAACAATCTGGCAGAGTAACAGAATAACAGAGTTGGAAGGTCTTTTAGCCCAACCCTCTGCTCAGGCAGGAAGCATTATACCACTTCAGACCAATGGCTGTCCAATCTCTTCTTGAAGACCTCCATTGATGGAGCACCAACAACTTCTGGAGGCAAGCCCTTTCACTGATTAATTTACAGAGTTGGTAGGGACCTTGAAGGTTTTCTAGTCCAACCCCCTGCTCAAGCAGGAGACCCTGTACCATTTCAGACAAATGGTTGTCTAATCTCTTCTTAAAACCTTCCAGTGTTGGAGCATTCACAACTTCTGGAGGCAGGTTGTTCCACTGGTTAACTGTTCTCACTGTCAGGAAGTTTCTCCTTAGTTCCAGGTTGCTTCTCTCCTTGATTAGTCTCCATCCGTTGCTTCTTGTCCTGCCTTCAGGCGCTTTGGAGAATAGCTTGACTCCCCCTTCTTTGGGGCAGCCCCTGAGATATTGGAAGGCTGCCATCATGTCACCCCCTAACTTTACTCTGGTTTTGCTCATGAATAACGTTAATGGCTACCATGAGAAGTGGAGTGGATGCAATTTAGAAAGAAATATTTTTGTCTTATCCTTATTGTTCACATAAAATCCTAGAAGTAGAAAAAATGCAGAACATGATCTGGGCTTGTGTTTCTCAACCTTGGCAACTTTAAGACGTGTGGACTTCAATGCTGGCTGGGAATTTCTGGGAGTTGAAGTCCACACATCTTAAAAGTTGCCAGGGTTGAGAAACACTGGGTTTTAGCCCAAGTCACTTCTTGGTGGACGGATCCAATTAAAGCACCCTAGGCATAGACAGCTCAGGGTTGAACTGTGGGGGTTCTTTGGTGCTCTCTGGGGTTGGTTGGTTGTTTGCAGACGTTTCATTACCAAGCTAGATAACATCATCAGTGTTAGAAAGGAGTGGGGTTTATATACTGTTAACTTGCCCTGTCAAGTGTTAGTAGGAGTGTTCTTGGTTCCTTGATTAGGCTGTTGTAGGTAGGTAGGTAGGTAGATACATTGATAATAGAGATAGATAGATAGATAGATAGATAGATAGATAGATAGATAGATAGATAGATAGATAGATAGATAGA